GCTTTTATCTCCATGACTTTACTTCCTCCCCAGAATGGCAAGTCTTTCTGGCCCTGGCAACTTGTCCCAACATTTCTGCTTGAGTTTCAATGCCTACACCATGAATGCTGAAAAAATAGAGAAAGTTACAAGTTTTCCATTTGTTCTGCAGTGAAAATCTCCCACTTTTTACTGGGGAAATCCCAAGCTTGTGTACAAGGGTACCGATGTAAGCATCCTCATTCACAAAAGGTGGGACTTTTGGCACAAGGGAAAGAATATCCTCCACAACATCACAGGAGAGCACATATCCAGTTCCACTGACATATTCTGGGTAATATTGTTCCTTGAAATCTTGATCTGACACTGCCCATTTGTTGAATTTCGGATTTCCTCTCACAACTTCACGATGTTGTTGTTCCACAAACACATGTCCGGCATACAGACCCTTAGTTAGAGTATTCTCATAAAGCAGAAACTGGGATAAAATGGGAGTATTGATAAAACAATCATCATCTGTCTTTAAGATATATTTTGCATGGCATTCCTCAGAGCTCCAACGAAGTCCATGAAGAACTTTAAGAGTTAAATTCCTATAACTGTCAAGGTAGTTCCCAAACAGTAGGTCTCTGCTGATTGCACTTTCTTTCTTCAAATTTTTATTTATGGTGTATTTGTCTGTCTTGCCAATGAGAAAAACACACTGCCAGTTGCAAGTCACTCCGCCAATAGCTTCTGTTTGCTTTTTACTGCAATAAGATTTTCTAATACCTTGTCGTTTCACAAAATTTTCAGGAGAGGATGTAATCAGTATAAGTAGAAAGGCGTCTTTCCGACATTTGATGGTTTCCTGTTTCAAACCACCCAACGCAGACCAACTCCACTTAGACTTAGTGTCGGGAATACCACCTCTGTTCAAAGCAACAACATCAGTGTTCGACATACTAAAACTGTCCTCAACTCTATCTGTACTTCTTTCTGCTTCATCATAAGGTGTAACTGACTTACTTTGGACAACAATTAGGGCAATTATCAACAAGGCTAGTATCCCTAATAGAAAGCATACATTTGTGCACCATTTTCCGGAAATGTATCGATTTACAGTCAATTTAGGGGATTGAGGTGGGGTCACCATGGTGATTGTTAGACTGGAACTGTTTTCTGAAGGACATATTCTGATACCAATTTTGTTGGTGATTGTATCATTTCATGTCACAGTTGGTTCACTTGGTCATCACCATAACAGTACAAGTTTAGAGTCAACTGAAGCAGCACTACATAAGTATTTCAACTCCTCATTCAGAAACTCTTCATATAAGCTTGTTCTAAGTATTCTGCACAGAGAAGCAACATCATGGCACAAACTGGTGACAACATCTTGTGTGCAATCTCGGTAAACTTGCATCTCTGAAATGATATTATGAGTACATCAAATAGCTTGTTTTGTGCAACATGTTTACAGTTCTCATCAATAATTTTAAAAAGATTTTCAACTGAAGAGTGATTATAATAGCAAGCCATATCAATTTATATTTTCTTATTATCTTATTATCTTGAGCCTTAAGAAGTTGGGATTTTACTATTTTATAGAGAGAATAATGAGAGGAACAAAAAGCTAACATGCTGTGTCCTGCATTAACTAACCTTTTTTAGTCTCATGGCTTTGAAGTTGACAGCCATTGGTCACCTGCCATGTTCCTACATGGCCTGGCACAAGCACCTAGAAAGTAAAACACGAAGATATAATCCAAAACAAATCTCATATGACATATAACAACAGCTCAGGCAGAGGCAAGGGCCAAAGACTAGAAGTATCTCTTAGTTACTTTGCATTCACAGCAGGTGCCATGCATAATGGATGGAAGTAGTTCTAAATTCCTTCCACAGACAGATCCAGTATTTCAGAGGACAGTGCTCCACAGTGAAACTCAAGCTTAAATCACCCACTTTATATTTGATATATCACGAATTCCCATAGCATAACTGCCTCTACACATAACTTGAAAAGGAGTTACAGGTGTGTTCTGTTTTAAAGGCTGCAGCCTGTCCTTGGCTGCTGAAGGTTTTATATTCTCTGGAGGTTAATTATTGGTACATAAATAACTTACAAGAAATTCTGTTAAAACAGCACAGTCAGTGGAACCTGTTTTTGTTCCATATTAGTACCTTCAGACCTTTGAACCTCTGGGCAAACAAAGAACATTCCAACCCATTTGGCTCTCCCAACTATTTAGACTTTGGGCCAGGACCTGAACATTTTTATGTGTAAGTAAATAGTGTGTGTGTGTGTGTGTGTGTTTGTGGGTGAGTATGTGTGTGCGTGCATGCATGCATGTGTGTGTGTTTAAGAAGAAGCTACCACAAATATATTATACCACAATTAAGACTGTAATTGGCTACTAAAATAACTTAAAATTATATATCTTTAAAGATTATAGAAAATGAACAAAGAATATTATCACGGACCTATGTCATTTTCTGCCATTTTGCGAAAATGAATACACACAAGTTTAACTGGCAAAATGCCAATTACCCGTATCGATTCAGTTCAGTAAACAGACTACTGTGCAGACTCAAAAGAATTAAAGCGAGTAGGATACTACAATTATTATAAATTCATCTTAGAAATCTCACCAGTGAACGAAACACTATAAATGACGAGAATCGACCTCTAACATTGAAAACTATAACTTACTGGCTTTAAGCAACTGTTTGCAAATGTCTTCAAACTGAAGGCAAACACTGCGTGAATACTGAAAAAGGCACTTGTTGACTTGACATATGTAGTCTTTGACATTGGACTTTGCCCTGCTATTTAAAACTAAATCGCTATTTAAAACTAAACTCTTTTTCACACTATTTACCATGCATATGTTAAATTTTGGTAGCTATAACTATTCAAACTCTTATTTGACATTTATCAAACATGCAAATATGGATAACAAAATAACAACATTACTTACTGAAAGTGAAAAGCACTGACTAACTTCTGACTAGGTCTATTTGCTTCTTTTCATGCTTGTGTGACCTACTTTAACCATCACAACCACAGGTGCAATCTCATTGGTCAAAAACATCTAATTAGGTCGGGAGCAGTTATTTAAGCGAAAGGAAACAAGCCTGAATATGATATTTCGTGGCATTAATACTATACCCCGATGTCGATTGTTATATCATGATCTAGGTACATCACAGAAATGAAAATGAACCAAGCTTTTCATTACATTCCGCAGTAATATGGAGGGGGGGGGGGCACGCAAAAATATCAAAATAATGAAAAACGATCTTATGGTATGGCAGTTTAGGGTACCACGAAGAATTTTCCAGGTAAATGGTATGGCTACGTCTGGTAAGTGCCTCGAAATGATTTCATTGTTTTAAAACAACCAGATCAATCCCCTCATTTTACACCAGTAGGCCTACGAAGTTTGAGGTTTGGTAGCCCTATAGGCCCTATATAGTCCCTCAGACCTCATAGGGCCTACATCATATCTAAAAGCCCTAGATATTCACCAAAACTAGTTGTATTATCATTAAATCAAAATGTTCGGTAGGGCTATGAGGGATTGAGGCTCACCGTATCGTAAGATTTAAATGATCAATGTGTGGTGTTCACAAATGGACCTTGCTCTAAAGGCTCAGTTCCTATGGTATAAATCCGATTTTATGTTTAAGTAACACAATATAGGCCTACTACGGTATGCTAGCCAAGGCTCACAGGCACCATGTGGATTAGAGACACAATGAAACTTTTAGTCAATGATCCTAGATATCAGATCAGACGATCTGAGGAAAATATGCTTGTGGGACTACTTTTAAAAGCTTTTAAATTTTCTTTAATACGCTACATAATTTTATGTAGGCCTATTTCATTTTATTCCATCCTATTTTATTTATTTCATTCGTCTTTAAAAAAACATTCACCTTTTAAAGTTGGTAATTTTAATAAATAAATAGACAAATAAATAAATAACATTTTGTTTTATGACGAAGACCTTGGTCTAAGAATATTTAAATATACTAACAAATAATTTCCTCAATAAATACTTGTCAAATTTGCAATTCACTACATGTAGGCTTCATTTAGTATTAGGTCTCTAGTGTACTACTAATATTTCGTAAGATCTTACATGTACATAGAGCCCTATCTGTAAATTGAGCATTATACGAGAACACGCATCCCACAAAAATTTGGACATTGTCCAAACAGGTACGCTCAGATGTGTATACTATTGAAAATTGCCAAAAATTTCAAGACCGACCATGTACTTGCATTATTGCAGTTGAAAATTTTGAATGAATTCAAAAATCAACTAAATGGTGAAAAATGCTCGTGCAATGTAGATATACTTTAAATTACTTCTGCAATAAGCTTACTATGCACAGTGCACGTGTGCGACTACAGGAATGAATATTCCGTGCTATCAGATAGTTCATCTCACAGTTGTTGTCTTCACGGTCCAGCATAATTTTTCACTGTAGGCCTACATGTAAACACAAACATGTGAAGGGAACAAATAAGGCTTAATGTATGGCAGTGACAGCATTTCTGTAGTCAAGAATTCTTGGTCGATGAGAGTGGAAAAAATATTCAAGTTGCAGATGTGATTGTCAGTAAAAGCATCCACAAAAGAAAATTAGTATACCAGTGCAGAGATAGCTCTATAAATATTATACACCGTATACGAGAATGCAAGGTGTTGCTGTAAGCAGAGAGCTGAAAGAACTGTGAAAGAAGTAGGAAACCGCCGAGACACTACCACGTTTTTCACTTCTGATTGAATTATAAATTTGATTCAGCAAAGGAGCCAGGGATGCTTTAATCTTTTATTTAGCCTTGACGATAACAACAAAAATACTCAGTTTAGTACCCATTTTATTGTTCGGACTCGACGCAAATAACTTGCAATATGAAATTTTATAAGATAGACAGAAGGGCACCAGACAGGTAAATTTCATTTTCGTGAAAAAAGGTAAAAGACGCTTCTTTATTCCCCGCAAAACTAAATGTATAATCAAACATGAAGTTCAAGGGGAGGATCGATCAGTACTGTCTCCGATCGAAAAACGGACACCACTTTATGCGATACGAATCTCTGAAAAAGTGTGCTCACAACATCACAGGAGCCACCGGGGAAGGTGAGTTTTTGCTTCTTTTCAACGAAGAATTGGAGCGGATCAAAACATTTATAAATCTTAAGCTTCAGGAACTACGCATGACCCTTCAGCGCCTTCAATATTACCGAGACCAAGAAAAATGCGGGGGGCACATCAGAAACACCGATAGCCAAATTCCTGAGAAATTATTATTCAAGGAGTTCATCGATGATTTCGTTACTGAACTAGAAGATATGGAAAAATTCATCATGCTTAACAGAGAAGGAATGGACCGCGTCATTGAAAAACACGACCTTATCACAGGGATAACCAGCGACTGGTACTTTGCACAGGGTCATAGTGCCTTCTTTGCCAGATATTTAAATGAACTGGACGCATTTCTTTTCCACATTAGCATTCTTTACACAGAAACAAGAAGTAAAAACAAAGCAAAAAATAACAAAATACGCGAAAATGTGGAAGAAAAACTGTTTGAGCGAAATATTTTAAAACACTTGGTAAAAACAGAGGATGTCTTTGCGGTTAAGACCGAACTCATCAAGCATCTACCCATCAGCATTCGAAATGATATGTACAGGTAAGACCAAATTGTAAACCCATTCTAAATCCCTTCTTTTTTACGCTTCGTTATTCTTCACTACGCTTCACTATTTAAAGTTAATCATTTTTAGATATCAAAGGCGTTTCAGGTTTTGCACCTGAATCACCTAAATGGCTCAAGCACTTTGTTTTTCTTGAATAAGCCTACCATTCAGAACCTGAAATAAGGCTGTATTCCCAGAGCTTTTAGATCGATCTATCCCCGCGGGGAGTCTGCCTAGATTACTGTCAGATAATCCGGCTTAAATGTCCGTCCCGCCTACTACAAGCTGTAAGGGGGTAATTAGCTTTCGTGTCCGCCCGGCTGACAGCTATTTAGCGTGAACCCCCAGGGAGTTAGGTCGATCTAAAGTAGATCGATCTAATCTCTGGAAATGGGGTCTAAGAGATATTAGAATTTTGGGAGAAGGATGTTCAAGTTAAGATTTGATAGCAAAGTCCCATTTATCAATAGCCAAAATGGATAGCTAGACAAAATTCTTCTAAGAGAGCCGCAACTATGAAAGAACGCTTCGTGAGACGAGATGCATTAAAACAGCGAAAAAGGGAAAAATACTGGACCCTGACTGATGACATAGTGGTGGAATACAATCACGTGTACATGCTTAATTGGTGTACGGCGTTGCACTGGTTCCATGAGACAAGACGCTGGAAGACTACCAATGTTTCAATATTTTTATATTTAAGTCACGCGTTGAGCAATCCTCCGTTTGCAATAATTTATTACCAGTTTTTTTTAGAAAAAGTACTGTCTCGTGACCCATAAAAAAACGAGCAGGAGATTCGCTTTTAATATCTTTAAATTTTACTTTTTCAGGATAAGTCCCCAGGTTGATTGCAATCCCGAGCCTCACGAAAGTCTCATAGAAAGTACACCGCCTTTCATGACTTTGGTTTCCTCGGTTTTTCTGGATAACTCAGATCTGCTCTGTTACCACAGCCTCCAGCGTCTGGACGAAAGCGCCACGGCCATACGGCTGCGATGGCACAACCTTTCACAAGGGAGGGAGGTATGTTTACAGTGATCAGTCACTGCGTCAGATTTCAAGACACTGTCCGGTACTAACCGTGCTCTTAGTCTTTTGGTGTTTAGTTGGTGAGCAATAGTAATCCATTATACTTGTGTGTTACACGCAGTTACCGAATACTCGGAATTGATGGGGTAATGGATAGAAATGTAAACTTGGGTTACGCAAAACGTTGTTCGATAAAGACGTGAGTTGTAAACCATAGCCCCTTATGTCATTTAAATCAATCATGCGTACAATCAGATTTTTTAAAAAATTTGATTCCATGATATTGCTTCTGTTGCTTCAAGATATGTAATTTTTTATGTGATGGAGGTTTATTGATTTTAACGAAATTTACGTATTAGTACCTGACAATCAACTTTTCTACAGGTACTTCCTCTTGCAAGTCCTCTTGATTCGCTAGTGTACGTTGAGAAGAAAACCTACAACAGCGAAAGTATTTGCAATAAAACGGAACGATTTCCGTTTCACGAAGAGGAAGTTTTCAGTTATTTAAAAGGTATGGAAGCATGCTTTGTCTGCCTTACCTTTATTACGGTCACATGTTAATAAATTTATTGTGGCGCAAGTGAAAATACCTATTCTTTTGCAAGTATCTCATATACAGGGGTAACATTATTAGATTAAAAACGTATATTCATTTCACGTCTGAGACGCGGTAGTGGATACAAGAACTTTATTTTCAGGAGAACCAATTGCCTCTCCTTGTGATTCTGCCAATCCAGAGACACGTTTGAGAAATGAGGCACAGAAGGTCATCAACAGAGATAATTTGGAACCTTTGGTGAGAACGGCATGCAAAAGAATGATATTTCAAAGCCCTGATGACAATGAAGTCAGAATCACCTTAGATTCTGATCTCATTTTTGTCGATGAGGGTGGCCGACAAAATTCACAATGGAAGCGAAACGAAGATGGTGAGTTAAATGGAGTACTTGAAATTACGTTTCTCCGCGCTAATAACTTCATCTAACTTTTCATATCATCAAAAGAGGTTTAAAATGATGAACATCATTTTTATTGGGTTAAACGTTAAGATGCATACAAATAGACGGCTCAAAGCTGACGCAACATGTTCGATAATATCTCCTTCAAATTCTCTCCTAGAAATAGCTGAGAACCGCCACTATTGCGAGTTCCCGTACAGCATCTTCAAAGTAGAGCTTGGGTCTGCTTTTCCTGAATGGCTCAGGCTTCTATTAGAGCACCCTAGTGTCCGTCACGTCGAAAAGTTCTCAAAATCTCAACAAGCCACAACCTGTTTCTACCCTCACAGGATAAAGGAGTTTCCAGACTGGTTCGCTGAGGTCACCATTCACGGGAGTAAAACTGGTTTTAGTAAGGTATGCATGGCGAAGATTAGCCGCAATTACTATGAGGCCCGTTCAGCATTTAAAAAGTCGTAAACGTGGTTTTTATTTCAAAACATTAACGCGTCCCCAGCTTAATAAATGATGTAGGCGCTCTTTATTTATTTTTTCCACAGGTTTTACTGCATCAAGAGGGAAACGATCACCGTCTATCTGTGAATCAAAATTCTGTCATAGAGACTACTGGAGATTCAACATCCTATTCATTAAACTGTGGAACTGGGGAAAGCAGCATCCAAGTGACAGACGAGAACGCTAAAATGCCGACTATTCCCCTTATTGAAATGTTGCAAAACAGTGCGTATAAACCGGCTTATGCGGAGGTTCAAAATAAGAATATTTTTCATTCATTTTTTTGTTCGTTTGTAAAGATGTTTTGATTTATAAATATAATTTTAAAAAGTCTATATAATACTTGTTTTTCAAAAGATCACTTCACATTCGATAAAAAGTGTAAATGCCCATATTTCAATTGATGTAGGTGCACTGCGTCTCCGACATACAAAACTACCAAAGTTTTCGAGAAGTTTTCAGAAAAATGCTTCAGGTTGTGCGACATCCCAAAAAAAGAGACGCTTGAAAGTAGAACCCAAGACTTACTTTGCAAACGAAAGAACCTTCATTCAATGGCTGACGGCATCGTTGCTACTAGTAATTTATTTATATATTTATGTATTGTAAACTTATTTTCATTCAAAAAGTTTTTAAGAAATGTTCATCTTATCTCTAACAAATTGTATATTTCTATGAATTGCCGTATAGGGATATAAACATGCAGGCATTATATAAACAAATGTGATGGGGCCTTTGCCTTATTCGGATTAGTAATCAACTCAAAATAGCTTTACGTCTTCACTACCACATTTCTGTCCATCCTTTCTACCACCTGTTAGGTGACACTGAGCGGAGCACTTGTTGCACTGGGAGATAATGAAGCACTGATCACAGGTCTCCTACTTCTTCCACTGGCAATGGCTATGCTCATTTATGCCACGATTATGTACTACGTGAGTACAAACCTTTTTTTTCTTTAATAAATAACGACAATATCGTTATGATTATTGACCATGGGCGAATAAAAGGCACACCGAACTTCAAAATCTGACATCTCAAAATGTGTTCTCTGTGGTTGAATGAAATGTACTTAATTAGTGCTACAAGACATTGCCGTTGTCACTTTTGCATATCGGCTCTTGTAATATTTCAGTAGCATTCAAGACACGCACGCACACACACACACACACACACACACACTTATCAAAACGTGTAAGACCAGAATTGCCGGTTTGCTTTTAGCTACGGCTGTATCGGCTGAAGCATACTTCAAAGACTGGATACCAGGATGCATTTGGTCCTGCTGTGTTGACATTGTTTCTGTGTGTGGCCATTCTGTCAATGCTCAGTTTACAATCCAGGAATTATCTGAAACGACTGGAAAAGGAAAACTTAATTGGGAATGGTGAGAACAACACATTTCAAAATGGTGAAACTGCTGATGAATAGTTAAAAACTTAGCGTATGTGATTAGATATATTTCCCAATTCCTATATAGAACCTTATCAGACTTGCAAAAGGGTTATGTAAGAATATGTGCCGATTAAATATGAACTAGCATCCTACATAACAAATTGACTTCTTTCAAGGTTTTCGTAATATTCTACACGAATCCAGCCGCTGCCACAAGCTCAACACGACTTTCCCCGTATTCTTTGAACCAAGTGACGTGGTGTTAGATCCATCGGGGCGGTACCTGTGGGCGTGTTCAGGCAACATCGTAGCCAAAATAAATATCTACACTGAAGTTTTGGAAGAAAGCATACATGTCAGAGGTAAGTTGAACATATATATACCATGATTAATTTCATGACTTAAAAAGGGGTTGATTGGATTGAGCTCTAATCCGTCATCTAATACGTATACCTGAACTGGTCTTTTGCGTCTCCATCACATATCTTGGCCAACAAAATATATGTATAGGAAACTTTTATCCTTGGGGCATAAAATTGAAATTACACATATATATCCCAGCAACACGTTTTAAGAATGGGTGAATTTTGCAATAAGTTTTATTGTTTATTCTTGGCAGTTTTTTTTCTTGTTAAGTCCATTTATTGTATTTTTAGGGAAGGAGAAGTACGATTTTCAAGGACTTACTTTCACAAAGGCAGATAAACCTCAAATCATATACATCGCCACTGAGTTCCCAACCAACCGAATTCTGGTGTATGATCTTCAAAAGAGAACGGTTTTAGATGTTGTAGAAATGAAACACCTTTTAGGTAATTAATGAAAACAAACCGGGCCATTTTTCTTGTTTTGTGGATTTGAAACTTTTTTGATCATACTGTCAAAAGGAAATCTAAAAGTTTGGGATTATCTTAGAATATGATTTTAGACAAATTACAGTCCAACAGTACATAGTGTTCGTTTTGATTACAGTAATCTCACCGAAAAAAAATTGTTAGCATTTTTCATGATAATCCCAGATGTATGTAGCATTAGCAACAACACTTTTAAGTGCAAAAAAAATTCACTTTAAAAAAGCTTTGAAAAGCACACTTCTAAATAGGCCTACAAAGACCTATCATCAAAAAAGAAGTCAAAGGTGGGCCTTTCTGTAAAGCAAAGCACTTTAATCGACTCAAAAATTATTAATATCTAATTAAATGGGACATTTAAATTGTTTTACATGAAAATATATAGCAATGTTTTAAGACCAGCTTTTTAAAATTTTGCTTGACTACTTTAGAGCTACATTTTATCAAAGTACAAATTCCTTTACATTATCAATCATTTGCCTAATTTCATTACTGAAACGTAGGTCAGGGCTATAAACTGTGTGATATTTTATTCTGAAAAAGAAAAAAATCTAAATAACTTGTACAAATTATAAAGTTTTGTATTCACACGCAGGTCGTGATCCTAGCTTCGGGGGCATTGCTTACAGTGACAGTGTTTGGGTCGGCAGCGGAAAGATGGAGAAAAGGCATGGAACCTTCTTCGCTACCTCAGAACAATTCATCCAGATATTCACCTTCATCACCAACAACAGCACCTCCGAATTGCATTTACATCCAGTGGCATTACAATCTTTACACGTCCACGAGAAAATCGGTGCTTTGAGTGTTTATAACAATACTTTGTATGCATTATTGGATAGCAAAGGCGTTGTCCGTTCCTGGAACATGGAGACTTCAGAAAGTCGGGATTTTGAAATACCTACCACAAGTCAACTGTTGGAGGGTATTGCATTTAGGTGGGGAGGGAATATTTCATCTTCCTCGGACGAAACTACTGTATTTGTAAGCTTGAACACGCCACCTCAAATTTGGAGACTGACTTTTTCGCAAGAGAAAGGCTTCTTGGAATGCTAATGAATGAAAAGACAAAATAAATCATAACTAGATATAGCTTCTTTGGCAATTCACTGTAATAAGTACATTTTCCATCGACAAAAAAAAAAAAAAAAAAAAGAAGACGTAACCTACTCAGACTTGCTTCTTACGCACAAACAGTGAAGAAATATTCATGACGCTATGATAAATATTTTTTTAGAAATATTCACCTTTACGTATCACGATTTAGAAATATTCGAACATACAGTAAGTATCAACAGCGTTAACTTCCTACTCGTAGGCCGTGGCACCTGCTGTTGTTTTACCTATATACATATAGTTGTACCAGCTCTTGCTTAAAGTTCAATGAGGGTTGTATCTTTGTGGAAAGTGTTTCAAAGGCGACAGTAATTTACACCGTTTTCATTCAAATAATGATCAAATCATTTACAGCATTATCTTTTCATTCATTGCCTATAATAATTCGTTATTTAAAAAAAAATCCTACAAATTTTGAAAATATGTTTAACCCCCCAAAAAAAGTGTACAGCAGAGAGAGAATAAAATACATTGCTGAACATTGATAATCGATTCAAACGTTTTTAAAGATGATCAAAGACAGGTGCATTCTCCCACGATGTATAAAATAACAGTGGGACATTAATTTAAGCTCTTGACTTATGGAGATAGCAGATGCAGGAAGTATGACTCAATGTTCAAACATAAGGACTGGCAGTAGTGTGTAAATTACGGATAAATTGAACCAGTGTCAATAGCATGTCAAGAAATTAAATTGTATCCACGGTTTAGCCGATGTTTGCAAACCTCAATAAAACAAAATACCGGTTGAAAGGACATTTGATATACAGATTTTTCTTATGTAACCGTATCCCGTTTAAGGGGAGGGGCGCGTGCTAAGACTGCTAAGGCGAGTGATTGCGAAACCTCTGTTACCAGCTAAAGTTGATTAACGAGATGTGATTGTATATTATTCTTTTTTTGGGGGGTGGGGGTGGGGAGGGGGTAATAACCAGAGCGGCTACATGTATCGATACAATTCTTTATGCTTTGTGTAGCTACGGATAAGAAGTAAAAACTCTTTTATATCAATTTTTTACTCGATGTTGCAGTTAATATTTATCATGGAAAATGTACCAGTATTATTAGGCTTTTCTTAAATCAGTTTCTTGTTACTGGTGATTTTTACTTTGGACCAAAATGCCCCACGAATTATCTAACATACCGCTGTGCTCTTCACGCGTTCCTCACCAATCACTAATTATTACGATTATAGGTATAAAGAATCTACCTCTACAATATATGTCATTCTCAGAGGTAAAGGTACAATTTATAGTAAACATGTATGTGAGGGCCATTTTAAGTTTTTCGATACCGATACGTACAACGCCCAATGTGAAAAAAGGAGACACCATTGGTACGACCTTGTCACACGCACTCTACTAGTGGTTTAATTTAGGGTTAATTTGACAGCTCCATTATCAGCTTCGTGTCCGCGTTGTCAGATATCACGCTTAGTGTCGTTATGCTAAAAATAAACGTTCGGAAAGTCCTAATATGTGCACGATGGTCTGGTGCCAAGAAAAATGACAAACAGGTAAATATTCGAGAGTCAGAAGGTGTTTCTTGCGGAGGTGCAGAAGACATTCTTACTGTCGTTTGTCAATTCAGTATAAAGTTGGTAAAGCATACATTGTTAAAGCTGCTAGGGATGCACTGGCAGTATTCAGCAAGAGTTGAGGAACTTGTCGATTGATTAAGAGGGTGAGTTGAGAGTGATGTATTTGTTTTTTCTTGTTCTTTTGATTCGCCTTTTAGATTTGATAAAGAGTGGATTGGTGAGAGGATCGATAGCTATTTTACCCTACTCGTCAGGCTGGGCATGGAAAGGTAGACCTAAATCATTGCCAAACGTATAGGGCATAATTGGAAAGTAGCCGACTGTCTAGATGCTTCGTGTCATCGCTAAAGCGGAAATAAAATGCGCCAGCATTGTTCAGGTGGCGAGGTGTTCCCCTTTGATCCTTTGTAGACCAATACATACCTAGAGATGTTATATGCCCGCGGCGATCAACACTTTATTGATATAACACTTACGTTAATAAGTGAGACGCGAATACTTTCCCCCGGTACGTATGCCAAAAAACACACTGCCACCCTCTCGCAATATGTCTTGAATACCTCTTGCTGACGCTCGAGGTGTTCTGGCACATGTATCGCTTGGGTGACAGTGTATTATCTCACACGCAAAAGAGGAAGGCGTCATAACTACAAACGCTCCTACACGTATGTGCCATGATATTTCCAAAATGTTAAAATCAAAATTTATATTTTATAAACTAGAATGCAATTATACTAGATAATTGTCCATGGTTTACCATCGGTTTTTTATATATCAACATCACATCTTGAAATTAAATGATTTTATATTTCACTTATACGAGTTCCGACAGAAACCAATCTCTCACATATCTAATATTATCGATAGTTGTGGTTTACTTAAACAGCGTGCTACAAAGACATGCAATGTAATGTTGTGCAAACATATACTAAATTGTTTTTTTTATAAGACGATAATTGGAAAACCAAATGTCGTTGAAAGAATCGAGTCACGCGCAGAGACACGAATGTTCGATAGTAGTGCAAGATAGATCAAGATATAATAAGAGCTTGATGCAACTACACATTCCATGAAAACATAACCTCCAGTCGGAATTTCCCATTTTTTTCAGGTCACAAAAGAAATTCGTGTCGAGCTCACCATTGCCCTAACTATGGGCGACGAAAGCCACGCCATTTTTGAGATGGGTCTTACACCTGGTGTTGGGTTTGTCAGCGGTCCTGTTGGTTTGCAGGCTCAGCAAACCGCTTTAGACGAAGGGAAAGAAGCTCACCAAAGAGTGGTCGTAAACATCGTCGGAAAAGAGCGACAAGGCAAAACAAGCCTTAGGAAAATGTTGACGTGTGATCCGTTTGATATGAACGAAATCAGCACCGTCGGTATTGAACAGAAACTAGTGGACACATCGGGTTTAACGGAGTCATGGAAAACGGTTGACGTAGCTCTGTCAAACGCTTCAGAATTCGAGGAAGCGCTTGGAGTACACACACTTATGCGATTAAAACCTTCGCGCAAGGTTAGCGCAAAGAACGCCGTTTTGGCGTCTTGTAAATGTTTTCTTAAGATTTTACTCTTAGTAGCTGGCTTGCTATCAGCATATTTGTGTGTCAGCATACGTCTTTCAGATCAGGTCCCATGGATGGGATTCCTTCTGGTTTTAACGTATGCAGTTTCTGTGTGTTTCTTCGGACTCCGGGATGGGTTTGGTATAGCAATAGGCGTGATCATTCTGGCGCTATGGTCCGACGGTGTGTGCCGATGGCAACTCCACGAACATTTTGAGCAAGTGAGTTCTGACTACGGTCTTCTTCCAGCATTAACACTTGGCTTTGTGTTGTTTTTCTTAATAGACAGTTACATCGGGTTATCCTGTGGGATGTCTTTAGGGACTGGCATGACCCTGACTCTGTGTATTATGGACACTCCCGTGGCCACAGACTCGCAACCACTTACATGCCCAATTGGCCTTTATCACCATCAAGCCATTTTCATGCTATCTACCTGCGTGGGATTGGGGACTCAAAAATTTCCACAAGTCATTTCATGGATTATTGTCCCTGCTCTTGCCATTGTCGCTTCTAGGGCTGCAGAGACACAAAGCAGCAGTATTTTTACCCTTGTGTTTGGCTTGGGTTGTGGTTACGGGCACGGCGTGTTTCTTTCCGTGGGACAGAAACTCTACCTATTGTTTAAAGAGCGTGTATCACCTTTATGTGAACCGCAGACGCGTCGTCTCATCACCTACGCCATAGGAATCATACCCGGGCTTGGATTCAGTTTCATGTTAGGATGGAGGTTTCCTCGAAACTTTAATTTAGGCAAACATGTTGTCGGTCTAACTTTTGTTATTGGAGTCGAGCTTCTCCATTTAATAAACAGCCTCAAACGAAGTCCTCAAAAGCACGGCAACGACAAATTCAAAAGCACTTCGCTCTCCCCGAGCAAAGTTTTACAAGCGCGCCATCGTCGCAGGGAAAGAGTCAAATTGGTAATGCGAGACTATGCTGGGCATGCTCTCTACCATTCCGTACATCACATCTTCATGGCGGCACATTCGATTTACCTTGTTGTGTTCAACTTGAAGGACGCTGTTCTCGATGCTCGAACATCTCTGAACAGCTTGCTGTTCTGGTTACACTCAATACAGGTGCACGCGCAGTACCCAAACGCATCTGTCCTGATAGTTGGAACTCACCGCGATCATAACATGGTGGGACCAACGAAAGTGAGAGAAATAGGCAATTTCTTGAGGAGCAGCCTGCCACACAACTTGCACAAATTTTTGATATGGAATGAGGATGACACGCCTCTTTTTCCGGTGGAAAATAGTCTCAGATCTGTTAATGATGCTGACCATGAGCATTTGCGGAAAACACTGATGCGCATAGCGCGTGAGTCCGAATTCCAAAAGCAACTGTGGCCCATAAAATACCTGGCGCTACACAAAGTTATTCAAAAAAGGAGAGAGAATGGACAGCTCATTGGAAATTTTGTAGAGCTTTACGAAGTGTGTAAAAAGAACCAGTGTCACATTAAAGATGAAGACGAATTTAAAGACATGTTAAACTTCTTTCATTTCATTGGTGAAATTATTTACAAAGCAAATGGAAAACTGTCCGATGTTATTGTTTTTGACCCACAGTTACTGGTCAATATCATGGCCTCCATAGTGACCATCCCATCTTTATCTAAACAAAAACATTCATTAATGGACGATTGGAGAAACCTGAAAAACACTGGAACGCTTTCCACGCCTTTACTGCAACATTTGCTGTCTGACCTCACAAACGCCAATGTCCAGGAGAGTTTGATAGACCTTCTGCAGCATTATCACCTTATATGTAAAGTGATGCTGAACAATAATGGTTTCCATTATATAGTGCCAAAACTGCTACCTCATACCAAACATCTAAGTGGATGGTGGGATGACGACGTCGACTCAGATATAATTTACTATGTAGACTTTGGATGCTTTCCCCCACAGACTATTTTCCTACGACTTGTGTGCCAATGTGTTCAATACGATAACCTACGAAATATCGCCGTGCCTCGGATTTCACAAAGTGCTGCGTTATTTACTTTTGAAAACAGTTATGCACTGAAGCTAGAACTTCTTGGAAATGAAGATTTTGTTAGCCAGCAAAGCCAAATGATCAAGGTGACTGTAAGATGCGGTAGAGGCCGTGAACCGGCCATAGTGTTAGATGCAATCCAACACAATCTGAAAAGAATCGTGTCACAGGATTTTGAGAAATGTTCCTACGTTTTTGGCCCTAAATGCCCATTTCAGGATGCTCATGACCAAGAGAATTCAGTAAGTACCAGTAATGTGGTATTACATAAGACTCTGCGAAAATCAACAGTACTCATTGAAATATAAATGCAGTCCCTGTAAAAAACAAATAATACAATTTTAAAAAAAGATAAAGCATATAATGCATTCTTTTTTATTGTGGTATTCAAACTGGAAAAAAATCCTTGTACTCACCTGGATTCAATAAGGGCTCTCTTCCATTTCAGGATATTCACCTTCTTGAAATCTGGTCCATGAACACAGAAGATGCCTCAGCGTCACGTAAGAAGCAGACGACATTCTGGTGTCGTGGACGAATGATCGAGTTGCAAGGGAGCAAAGTAAGTTTTCTTTTTTTGTCTTTAGCGACATGTACAACGATAAGCAAAAAGATGAAAAAAAAAAAAAAAACTATCCAACCAAGCAAATTTGTGAATGATATATAAATTATTTAGCAAGGAGAATTAGATGCACTGGATAACCCTACCGGGTGGCATTTTTTAATAGAATTCAAGGGAAAAGAAGTTCATTAATTTCATCATAATTATATATTATACATATTGATACCCAACAATTAACCACGAGATATATCCCACTCATTAAATAACTATGTCTAATATTTACCTTTACTCTTTTGAATCAACCTGTTTTGTATTCTATAATGAGGTAACTTTACTCACTGCCTCATTGAAAACTAATCTTGAAACTTTGTTCAAACAGATTAAACATCACGTGACATTAAAAGATCTGTTTTCAGGCTGTTGGGTTAGATAAGACGGCAACCTCAGATGAGAAAAAGATTTTTCAACGCAAGAAGAATGATTTGACAGCGAAGTGTTGGGCAGATACTTCATTCAAAAGCCTGACACCTGACATATACTACCGCGTGTGTAATGCCCTAAATACACCTAGTATTTTTGGTAGGGACTGGAAGGGATTGGCAGGTAAGATTGACGAGGGAGAGAGGGAGGGAGAGAGAGAGAGAACAAATATGTAATCATACTGCTGTAAAATCCGTGATTGATTCTTCTCCCACTGTAAGTTTGATAATCATGCTCTTGAGCGTCTTAATAAGATACTGATAACATGAGCAGTTTCTAGGGAAATGACCAAGAGTGCAATATGTCGAACTCCAGTTTTTTTCTAGAGCTTCTTGTAGACATCTAATATAAATCATTTTAAACAAAAGAACATCTTAGAATTGATAAAAGAATATGACATTCATCAAAGACGTAGAATAGTCATAAACTTTTGATTTCTTCATTCTGTATACATCATGATTTACGATTAATCGTAGTACGCAAAACAAGGTCGAGGTTTATTAACACCGTGCTGATAAAGATTCATGGCTATCCCATCAGCCAAGGTATAATGTCATATAAAGATGATTATCATGTCGGTATATTTGAAAAATCAAGACTCTTCCTTGATTAAAAAATTGAAAGAATGTAGTTTTTGTTTAATTATAGGTGAATTTAGTTCTCGCTACCGTTCGAAAAATCTTCGTTTTAAATTATTTTTTCTCTGGAACTGGTAACAAAGACATGGGTTAACCGTTTAACAACATGCTTCACAACATAACAATGATTTCATCAAAATAAATAAATAAATAAATAAATAAATAAATGAAATGTGACATCTCTTCAGCTCATCTAGGCAAGAGCATGTTCGAAGTCCAGGTGCTGGAAAGGCAACAGAACCCATGTGATGCCGTGCTGACAGAGTGGTGCCAAACCTCTAACGTGACTGTGAGTGATGTGATCAACTGCCTGCGGGACATGGGAAGACTGGACTTAGTGCAAGATATCCAAAACTACGCACGGGAGCACAACTTGGTGCAGGCATCCTAATGCCAGTGCTGTCCACATTGATATTTTGTTGCCAAGTTTACCAGAAGTCAGTGAAGTGGACAAAAAGGCTTCGTGTGCAAACCTGTAAAATTTTATTGAATTTTTTTTCAATAAACGATATTTAAACTTATTAACATGTTTGATATTTGTTTCTTGTTTCCATTTCCTTAAGATGTTTACGCAAATGAATTAATACTTTCTTATACCAAAATTGCAAAAATAATAATCAGATCTTAAAAGACTGCAACACACTACCGACTAAGAAAATCCAACCAACTCAACAACAGAGAAAAATATTAGGAAAACTACTGGTGAAAAAGTTGAAACATATATATATATTTGAATTCTTTCTTTTTTTTCAAGGATTTGGTCAATTTTCTGTCCTAAGAAATGAAAGCAAGCACAACAATTAAAAAGGATGATTAAAATGTAAACTCATGTCAGCTTCATAATTTATAAGTTTTCACATCACTTCAGAACGACTCTTTCACTGTCGCCACAAACGGTGAGCCAAATATACCCAATTAACAATATACTAGTTTAGCTTGTTTGAACAACACTTTACAAGATCTACAATGGAAAGTTTTACGTAAGAAAATGTAAGTGCTAACATGTTAATACTCTGTGAAGATAATCGTCTCATGTGACAAACTCTTGCCAACCATGCCTCTACAGTGTCACTTCATGTTTTCACATCTGACCACGTCTATACGAGGAATGGGCATTTGGTGCTGTCTCCCACCACACGTGGCTTGATTTGTCCTTTTAACAAACATATAGCACAATTTTAAAGAAGGCTCCACATAAAACACCTAAGGTCCTTTCAGAAAACAAATGATCAAGATACGTTTTGTCACAAACTATATTGTATCCAACATAATAGACACTTGACCCAACTCTGCTGTTCAAAATCCAATTTTAGTCTGCTCTGCTAGCTAGCTACTTTTCAGATTTTGTCTGCTGAGCTGTATGTCTGTCATATTCCAGACTTATAAGTAAGAGGTTTAACTTTATGATATCCTCCCTTATCACTTGAGATACAGAGACTGTTTCCTTATATAAAAAAGCACTACTGCATGCTTTTCAGTTTTGCATCTATTTCCTCCATTTGTTCTTTCAGTCTAGTCCATTGTTCCGCATTAAGTGCTATTCCTAGAATTAATAAAACACAAATAAATAAACATGAACAGTAATAAATAATAAGAATAGAGATGACAAAAAAAAAAGTCAAAAATATGCTGAAGTAACATGTTGCAGACAAATTGTACCATAAAATTCAAAATTCTGATCAAAGGCAAAATCAAATATCAAATAATAAATGATCCTGACACAAATAAATCATACAGATTTATAATTTTAAAATCAATAACCTCACAATTATATATATATATATATATATATATATATATATATATATATATATATATATATATATAAGCTGCAATAATTAGAACATGAAAGATCTGATCAGGCATGTCAATGTGGTGGTTCAAAATTAGGGCATAATAGTAAAATATATACATATTGGTATATACACTGTGATGCTGCTTAAGCCATTCTTTGCAGATCTACAATCAATTGACATGCCTGTCTGATTGATCAAAAGTTTCCTTTTTCGGAAATGCAACCCACCTTTCTTTCCTGGTTTCATTTCTCCATCAGATTCATAATACTCTCGGATGTTGACAAAGCATTTTCCCCGAAATTCACTCACTGTAACATATCTCATCTTGGAAAGCTGTGAAAAAGTTTAATTAAATAAATTCTTTTCATCAAGGTTAAGTAACTTCAATACATGTCAGAAACTATTAATTTCAGTACAACAATATTTATACAGAGCAATAATATGCCGCATATTGTATACCTGAAACATCTCTTCGCCATCCTTTCCTTTGGAGCTACTGGGCTTGGGCTTCTCTGCAGGCTTAGGTTTTTCTGTCTTCTTTTTCTTTGCTTTTGGCTAAAGAATAAATGACAGTAGCATAGAGACATCTCATTCGAAGAAAATATCACAAGAAAATGTAACAACATCTTTGTCATCAGTGAGTGTTATAAATAGTCATGGCACAGTAAAAGTAGCAAATTTTTCATCATAATATCAACCTTACTTAGAAAACCCACTTTTAATCAGATTGACTTTTTTTATCAAACACAGTGGGTTCTCACTTGCCTTATCATCTTCTGAATCTGATTCTGAGCTGGATATAAATTCTTTCGATTTTGGCATCCTGTTTTATTTGATTTGTTTATCTGAAACAAATAGATACAACAATGTACGTTTTTATTATTTTTATTATTATTATTAATAAATTTAAAATTATTTTAGTTTCATTTTTAGTGTCACTTCTAAATTTCGACCACGCAAATTTAAAAATTGAGCTTAGGAACTTTTCATTACGTTTTGGATCTCACCTATATGTGTTGAATGTATTAGCACATATGTGATATAGCAGTTGTACAGCAGATGATAATCATGTAGATCTAACAAACGCAAATTGTTCTGTGGTTTTTCTCGTACAGCGTACTGAGTACAGGTATAAATCGAAAGGAGGTCATCGTGCCTTTACACAATATTCAATGCACTGATCGCACTACCTACTTTCACCGAACTAACATACCAGTAACTGTTAAATTATATATCACTTAAAGTAAATACTACGAGTCGGTTAAAACCGGTGATGTGAACTTACTCGTGTTGTCTCTCTACCGGAAATGAAATCCAGATCACCGCGCTCCAAAACAGTGCCAAACCTAATTGGTTCATAGCTCTGAAATAGAAATAAAAGAATAATGAGTGGAATAACAATTTTCATTTTAGCTAATTTATTTCGTAACTTCGTCCTAAAAGGACTACTTTCATGTTTTTGTTTAAAAAATATATAGAGAAGATCAAAATTAGGGAATCTTAAATTACTGGTGTTTTTTAAGCGTGGCATCAATTCCAATCGCAATCTCACCTCTTGAGTGATTTGTCAGGCTGTCCGAAAGTTATTTTGTTGTTGTGCCACGTAGCTCCGATTGGTTTGAAAACCATGACTCGTAAGTACTGGTCATAGTTCTCTTTAAGAAAACACACCCCAGGGAAACTATCGATTAAGATGGGGACAATGTAATTAGAATATAACAAGGAAAACTCTATGATTGCAGTACTACGCTTTAACTGTGTTGTCCTCATTTCATTCATCACACTCATACAAACACAGTGAGTGCTGCCAAATCCACCTAAAGATCAATCTGAAAGTATCTTGAACCTCTAACATCCACTTTTACCAACCACCCTACGGTTCTAGCGTAGGGTGGAAGATTGAAATGGAGGAGAGAGAGAGAATGGGGTATTCAGATGAGATAAAGCTTGAAGGTGAACCCAATGAGTGCAGCCTCGGTTTAATTTTAAAACCTTCCCGTATCTCAGGCAAGAACTAGTACAGGGAAAGGCCCCTCTCTGAGCCTGGCAAACATGAATGTTTTGCCTCTTGCTCTTTTCACTTCTATCAAATTTACAGCTTCAATATGAATAGCTTTTCTAGCAACATTCGTAGGTCCTCAACTAAAATTATTAATAAGCGACCAAAAAAAAAAAAAAAAAAAAGTTTTATCAAAACATTTANCTCCGATTGGTTTGAAAACCATGACTCGTAAGTACTGGTCATAGTTCTCTTTAAGAAAACACACCCCAGGGAAACTATCGATTAAGATGGGGACAATGTAATTAGAATATAACAAGGAAAACTCTATGATTGCAGTACTACGCTTTAACTGTGTTGTCCTCATTTCATTCATCACACTCATACAAACACAGTGAGTGCTGCCAAATCCACCTAAAGATCAATCTGAAAGTATCTTGAACCTCTAACATCCACTTTTACCAACCACCCTACGGTTCTAGCGTAGGGTGGAAGATTGAAATGGAGGAGAGAGAGAGAATGGGGTATTCAGATGAGATAAAGCTTGAAGGTGAACCCAATGAGTGCAGCCTCGGTTTAATTTTAAAACCTTCCCGTATCTCAGGCAAGAACTAGTACAGGGAAAGGCCCCTCTCTGAGCCTGGCAAACATGAATGTTTTGCCTCTTGCTCTTTTCACTTCTATCAAATTTACAGCTTCAATATGAATAGCTTTTCTAGCAACATTCGTAGGTCCTCAACTAAAATTATTAATAAGCGACCAAAAAAAAAAAAAAAAAAAGGTTTTATCAAAACATTTAACAGTACCTGTCGCTAATAAGAAGTTTGATCAGTAAGATAATATACATTTTTTTAGAATGGATAAAATTTTGCAGCTGATATTTGATTAAAGATCAGCTATATAAGAGAAATGTGTTTTGGTCAGGTATATCCCACCAACAGTTTGCCCCCCCTTGATCACTCAATAATTTTTAAAATGTTTTCTCCACAGGTGGAAATCAACGTGAGAAAGCAAGAGAAAAAAATCAGAAAAAGCAGCAGCAGCAGGATAAAGCCAAGGGTGCTGCAGCTAAGGGTGCCAATGCTGGGATGTCTTTGGAAGAGAGAAGACACAGGTAACAGTGTATTTACCTTTACATATAAGTCAAACTATATTCATTTACGGGGAAATGTGTTTTTAATGCATACATATAACAAACATATTCAAACCAGACAAAAATGTGTATAAGACAACTAAACCCTAGAAAACGAAAAAATTTGGTTGTGTATTGGATAATATTTTCTGAATAATAACTTTATGTCTCTTTATGTCTCTTTTCAGAGATGCTGAGATTATGAGACAAAAACAAGAGAAGAAAGCAGCCCAGGCCCAGGGAGCAAGTGGAGGTGCTAAAGGAGGGAAATAAACACAAGTGCAAATGGAAACTGTATTCTGAAAACATGAACTGGACATATCTTGATCTGAGATTCTGGACTTAACCCATTACAGATATTTAGATAGGAAATGTTTATCTACAGGCATATGTCCCTCTTGCTGTAACAGCTGATGTCAAGCATAGGCTCATGCTCTTTTAAAATACATCTACAAGTGATGCATTGGCTGGTATCAAGACAAAGGCGCATTTTGTACAACTGATGAGTATGAATGATATTAATTTGATATATCCTATTTGTCTCTTCTCACATAAACTGATAAAGTACTTAGAATATGTTATTAAATATGACTGATAAGGCCTGCTCATGATTCTTGCTAAATGTTATTAGAGCAGTTTTGGGATTTTGATAGGTTTTGGATGTCCATGCATTGCTTCAATACACACAGCGATACACATTTGTATGTCATTTATTTGAAGAAAACAAAACCATTTTGCATCTTTGCTAACATTATAGAACAATGACTTCACTTTATTATTTTTACTGAACAATTCCATTTTCATTTTAGTCATTAGTAAGTTATATGCCATCAGTACTGGAAAATTTATGAAGAATGTTTCTCTGTGGCATTGTATTGATCATATTGTAAACTTGCTTCTCATTTTCTCCATTCTTTTATGAAGAAAAAAAGTTCATTACATATAAATTATGCAAAATATATCATATATCATAACCAGGCAATTTTTCTGGTTCTAGTTTTAGTCCTTGATTTCATTGCCAAACAAAAGTTACTCAGTTTTTGTAAGATGGAAATGTTTGCAACAGATCCATCACTTATTGTACTTTTTCAAGGTCATGGGCATTAAATAAATTGTGAATTTTTAAAATGTTTTCTCACTGGTAGCCAACAAAAGGTGTTCGCAGTGTTATCACAAATACCTTCCTAATAGCATTTAATGCTTTTATTTTTTTTACTCCTGGGGGATTGCAGCCCATACACTTGCCAATTTTTGTGATAAAATTTTGTTTAGGGATGAAGTTACGCCCCATACCAATTGCTATCTCACCTCAAAATAGAAAGTTGTTAAAATGACAATTAAAGCTTTCAATTGCCTATGCTTTTTCCTTGCATTCAGAATTATAAACACTGATATCTTATATTTTCAAAGGGGGGGGGGCATTGTTTTTAATCAGCACAAAGATAGATGCATTATTGAATAATTAGATGCAGGAAAAGCCTTACTTTCAGTATCTAGGTGATTATAAAGAGTTAAAATACCCTTAATTCAGCTTTGATATTAGATTGCTCCAGTAACACTGACACGACACACCTTAGGAACCTGATCCTTAAAAATACTTCAAATAAAGAGCATGGAATTCCACTAAAGCTTATAAACCACTTCAACTAATTTATTATACAACTGAAATGAAGTCAACATATCAAATCAATAACTAAATTTATCTTGCAATCAGACAAAAAACTGCTTTAAAATTGAACATTCTTTAAGTACTAAATCATAAATTTACCCATTTATCTGGCCCTCAAGTTCATAAAGATCCATTCAATGACAAAGAACTGTGTGCACATTGTATAATCATTACTCTTACTCCTATTTATGGGTGTAAAACTGTGCGTGCAATTGCATATTTAGTCAAATGGGACAGCTGAGGGACATTTATAGCACAGAAAGAAAACCCCATTCAAATTGAATTTTTTGGGAAACGTGAAACGATGTCTTATGGCATTTCTCCAAGTTATACTATTTCAAGCTACACATGATGGAGTTTGGTCAGGTTCTGGGGCAAAAGTTTGACTTTAACTGCATCTGTAATGTACTAATGACACAATTGTTGAATAAAAAAACCTTTATTATGCCAAATGAAAGTGTGGTTACAACCACTGAGGTCATTAAAATCTCAATCTTCCAAATCTGACAGGCTTGCATTATTTTCACTCCAAGTAGGATGTAGTTCTGACTCGTTGGCACAGCACCAAGTGCTTTCTGTGCAAAGTCAATGTTTGAATTGGGAAAAGAAAGAAGGACAAATACAATTTGATGATGCTTTTTTCAACAGACAAGAATCTCTTGCCTCCACTTTTAACAACATCAAGCACACATTTTTCTGCCTTTTATGTCATCATTACCAGCAAAATATTTCCAACTCCCCTATATTGACATATCATTTGTACACATTTCCTCCTTCATGCTCAGCATGTTCATATACTGTCAAATATTTCTTCAATATTCTTCTTCATGTTATCCAATGTGCTCAAACCCTGATACTGTTATGTTTATTCCTCTGGGTTCTCCAACTGCTGTTTGAATGAACAAGGACCATAGTGGATATGGTACAGCTGATGGAGTTTTTGTGTCAAGTGTGACTTCATCCTACAGCTGGATATCCTGCTCAGCTGCTTCTTTTCAATTTCATTTTATTTCATTCAAGTCCCCCTTTACAACAGTAAACACCATGACACACAGGTGCCACAATATTTTGCTACCGCTTAACATCGCTAGAATCTTTGTGAGGCTGGTGGCCATGTTGTTGCTTCTTAGCATCCTTCAAGCCCTAAAATTATATGCTTACATCAGATAAATATGAAATTGGCAGTTTGAATTTGCATTAAAAAATAGTTGTATTTAACGAATGTACACCTTTCTTTTTCTTTCTTTTCCCTTTTTCTGTTTACTTCCCAACCATTCAAAGAAGTGTGTTTTTTGGAGTGTTTATACTTCACCTATTCTAATTCAAACATAAAGTGTTGGAAAAAGAGCCCCCAAGAAGTAAGTTATGCATGTTTAACACAGCTGATGGACTATGTTTAATTACCTGGTAATAACCTGTATGGTAGCCACTCATGTACCAGGACATCAACATACTGCACAATGCCTCATTGTCTCCTTCAAGGCCTTCAGGCACTGGTGGGGGAGGGGGCATAAATGGAGGTTTCTAAGTTGGAAAACAGTGCAAACTATATCAAATTGACATGCAGGCATAATATTATATTAGTAACAACTGAATTATAACTAAACTTTCTGTTTACAATGCTACTCAAACAATGCAAATTTATGGTCTATTTTTTATTTTTGGTCAATATGTGTCAAAGCAATTGAATGCATACAAGAATACCGCATTTCTTACTATAACCAGTTCATTTATTTTCATACTCGAAATACACTATTTTTCTTCAAAAAAATGACTAAATATATATAAATTTTTGATGATAGATTAACAACAAATATATTAATAAAAAAAATAATAATAAAATAGAAAAGAATAATTAAGTTTACAGACTTGTGAGGATAATGGTGTTTGTGCTGGGCTCGTCCAGGGTGGAAAGACTGGCAATGACGGAAACACAGGCTGCAATAAAAAGAAGAATACAGTTTTTACAATTTAATTTACAGAAAAAAATAGCAAATTACTTGAAAAGGTAGGAGTATATTAGCTTTTAACATGACAATGATTTCATCCGCAGCTACATTTTCACTTAAAATTGAATGAACAACATACAATCATTGCAGCATAAAATCTAAAGAAATGCAGCAGTGTGTCACCAAAAGAGAAGATTGGATGTTAAATCTCCAAAGGTTCTTTAGAGTATGGTGGTTTTATGCTCTCTTCATTTGGTTATATTATTTAAAGCATACTGTATCAAATCACGTCTTGTTGTCGTTGTCTCTCCCAATGCCATCATCCCCACCACTGAACATGGCATGAGAACTTCCTTCCATTTTCAATTTCCAGAAAAAAACCATACCTGGCCTTCAAACTCCACAACTATGGCATTTAAGACCAGTTTTATTTGAACTGCATGCCTAGCTGTGGGGAAAAACAACAGGGGTGATACTTGCTTCCTACATTGCAATCATATAGCCTACTGAGATATAATAAAATATGTAAGTGAGAATGAACCTTAATTATTTTTTTGTTTCAAGTTAGTCGAATTATGGATGTGATTTATAGTTGTAACTTACTGGCATTGCACTAAATGGTGGAATGACATTTGGTGACTGTGGCCATGGCCAAGTGGGAGGAGGAGCATGTGACTCTGATTGTCTGTGAGGTCTACTTCCTCTATGTGGACCTGGGGTACAGTCCATATCACTCTGAAACAGGGAAAAATATGTAACTTATGTATCAATATTCACTGTGACAACTTAACACTGGCAGCACTGTTTAATGAGTGAGGTGATAAAGAGAAGTTAAACCAATTTTGCACCAGTGACATTTTCTAGGACATGCATTTAAAAATGACACAAGAGCTGAATTTTCCAAATGCCCATTTCATTTTATTCACATTAAAAATATAAAAATTAAACCCTCACCCTCTAAAATTGGTGATTCCATTCTAATATAAAACTGATAAAAACTCACTTCTGCATTACTTCCCGACTCTCGTCTTTGATGTCTCCTGTTGGGAGCTAGTAGGTCTGCCAATTTTTGCGTCTCTTCATTGTTATAATCCAGATAGCGTACAACACAAGTACCTACTTCTTCACTCAGGGAGACAATCACAGCATCATAAATAGTATCATCTTCTGTGAAAACTGCTCTGCATTGGTCCCCTACTTTCCACTGCTGTAAAATATCAATAATATCAATAATGTATAATTATCAAATTACAACAATATTCTTTGAAATGTCTAAAATTGTACCAAATATGATGGCATTATATAGCAAACATCTTTAGCAAACCAATACTTCTGTCTCTAATATTTAAGGATCAGTTAAAATTGGGTCATTTCAGAATTTATGATTCAGGTGTCTTAAGTATTTTTCCACCTTGTGCCTTTTATACATCAAGTCATTTTCCAGCCAAATGCTGCACTGGGCAACATAACAGTCTCAGGCACTAGTAACAGTTTCTTTACTAATATATAAATAGGTCACCAGGGGTGTGGAATTCCACTAATATTTGAGTGAAGTAGACATAACAAACATTTAAAATACTAGTAAAGATCATATATGAGTTGGTCTTAACCAAAAGACTTGAATTTAAGACTGCATATTATTTACGATGGCACTTATTAATTATTTTTTTTTTCAAATTCAATTTTATGCTATATAAAACCATGGCAGACTACTACAGGTTTGCTGTGACACTGTTCTGCATAAAGTAGCTACATTAAAGTCAATAACAATGAATATCATCTGCATACTTTTCTTCCTTTGTGCTTGTGTTTCTTCTTGTTCTTCTTGTGCTTCTTTTTTTGGACTAAATCTCCAGTGCTATGATCTAAACTCTGGGTACTGTCACCATTTTTCTTTGACAGGTGGGCCTACAAAAATTAACAAACAAAAAAGTCAACAATAAATCATTGTAAAGGAAGCGTTTGTCTGGCATATGACAATCAGAACTGTTTGGTGACCGATTCAACATCTAACAAGTTTACGAGTGACAGTGTAGTGGTCAGCATTTTCAATTTTTGCAGGAGTCAGTGAATTAAATGGACAGAAGATAACAACTTCAAATAAGACAATTCTCCTATCAGCATGTCTTAGATAAAACATACATTGTAACCTAAATTGTACACACCTTCACCGAACTCACAGCGTGATCATATGCTTTTATAAGAGCAGTATCATCCCAAATCTCAGAAGTGTCCTATAAAGGAAAAAAGAAAGATGAACGATACTTTCATCATACAACTAAGACACAAGCTAAAGTAAACAACCATCTAATGCCTCTCTTGCCCAAAACAACGAATAACCCATGCTACGCAAGGATAAACCATTGTCTTTTTAATTCATTGATTCCCATATTATTAATTTTCTATTTAGTTTTTATGTTTTATGTTGTTGAGGGAGAGAGAGAGAGAGAAGGGAAGAGAGATAATCTACTTAGTATCGTTTTAATTTTCTTAGCAGTTCCTACCTCTCCTCTCACAAACAAAGATGCTTCCGAGGACTGCATGTTCGTGTAACATTTCTCAGTATCTATTTGTATGATTCAGTCTTGATAATATATTCATTAAACAAAGAAGCTTGCCACTGCAATGCCCCAGGTAGAATTAAACTAACACGCTTCCAACGTAAGTGGCACCTTTGCGCATCCATCTGCGCAAGACATTCAGGAGAAGCCAAATAAACAATGAAATAAAGTTACAATAAAGAGCACAGTAACAAAAATTACGATTAAAAATAAAATTCCAATGCATATCTTTATTTAGCAGAGGGACTCAAAACACCTACTCATACCACACAGTGAAGGTAAAAATACTCAGATTGGGGGATATCTTGGAATCTGTAGATCTAGCCTATGCAGCCGCAATTTGATTTAGTTTTCCAGTGACGTCAAAAGCGCCAATATTATTTAATCGCACGTGTTGCCTCGGCCTTACATGCTATACGGCCTCATTTTTTGCTTAATTTAATATATGAATAAGAATGCAGGTATGTCAAATATAATAGCAAAAACTTTAAAACTTTAAAGGCGGCTTTGTATATTTTTCAGTAGTGTAACTGAGATAATTTTATGCTAAAAAGCATGGGTACTAATGTCAGTATAGTTGTTTGTACATGTGCGTGCATTCTGCCAAACTAGATATTGGCCAAGTATCATCCATGCCTCTCCTGTTATAAAACAGGCACAGTAGTTATTTGGACTACTGCTGATTAATTTTGTGTTAAATTAGATGTAAATTTATGTTTAAAACATTTGGACTAGTTTCTTTTTTTTTGGGGGGGGGGGGGTATAATTCACAAACACAACCCTTTCATCAAGAATTAAGGTGTTTGAACCTACAATATTTATTTAATCTTATAGTCCTCTAGTTCTGATACATCTGCCTACAACAGAGTAGCAGGTTGGCCCAAGAAAAATTTGGATGTTAGCTTCCATGGTACACCACCCAAGCCACAAAAATGCATTTTTCTCAAGTAAGCACATATACATTGATCCAGTGAGTACTCAGTTATTGTATGATATTAGACCCAAAGCCCTGTTATTCTCTTAAATGCAATTGGGATTCATTCCTCCCAAGAATGGGCGAAGAGGCTCACAAATGCAAACTTTGTATTCAGTATTACAATATAACACAAATATGCAGCATTTTTCAAACTTGTTCTTTTTAATGGCAATGTGGAGTTTGCTTCTTGATAACCTGGATCAATCTATGATATCAGATCTGTAGTTTATTTGACTTTAGGCAGATTATATAGATATCTTAATTATCACTTGCAGTCGCAGATAACTGAATGTAAGATTTTTCTTCCCCCACATAAATTTCAGCACGCCCTCTGGCTGCAGACATGGAGAAAATTGCAAGTACTTGCATACAGTTCCACAAGCATCAGTACAGGTATGAAACTAGAAGCTCTCATGAATGAAAGTAAAAATACAAGTGTTGTCCATATGTTGTTATGTTTATGAGCAAAAGTAATTTTGAAAGTTCTGAACATGATATTTGAAGGTATACTGATAAAAAATTAAAGTTATTTGAAATATTTCAAACTGTTCTAAATGTTCATTGTTTCATTTTAGATGACAGGATCACCAGAAGATGAAGTGAAGCTCAAGACTACACTCACTTGTGGTAAACATGTATTGCTTTGCTATCACTAAAATAATGAAACCAAGAAAAAAGATAATAAATTATATAATGTAAATTTAACGAATGTATTATTTACAGCTATTTGCATTATTTTTAAACCATGAGATGTAATCCGTGATCTTACATGCTACAGTCAGTGTCAATTTTTCAGGCCAATAGCATTTCTGGCAACTAGGGTTAAAAATTAAGTGAGATAGTGTTATACCTGTTGAAAGTCTAAAAATTAAGTGAGATAGTGTTATATAAAATTTTAACTTTTTACTTGCCAAGTACTTCCTTAGATGGGTAAATGTATCAGGCAAGTGCTGAACTGTACCCTTTACAAGGGCTGCAGATAAATTAGTACTAGTTACAACACATCGTCCACTTAATGTGACATACAAGACCATAATAATAATATAGAGGTGCTCTTGTATGTCACTTACAGTGGGTGACGTGTAGTTGTAACTGACTTATATCACGGCTGGCACTTACAACAATAAGATGAATGCAACGAAGCTTATTAAAATACAGGCAAGCCCATTTGCGAAATACAAATGCAACTATGCTATTGTTCCAAGCGCCAGCCATGGTATAATGTCAATCTGTGACAATGGTAGAGGGTAGCAGATTACATGTAACAGATTGCATATGGCCTTCCTTTTGACATTCATTTGTTTGTTTAAAAAGGTCATGTAAAAGTTATTGTGATCAAGCCATTGTTTGTTTCAGTGTCAGGGTGTTTCTGTTGAAGGTGTAATAATACACATAATTTGTATTTCAGGTGAATGTCAAACAACTGTGCACTCCATCTTTGGTGCTAGTGCTTGGGAACAGTTACTGAATCATTATGTAGAGAAACTGTCAGCGAAGGAAAGAGAACATGTACGTCTGTTTGACACGTGTCCTTTGTTTGTTCACAAGGATGCTATCTGTGCAATCTGTGGGCATTTCTTTAAATGCAGTTTGGATTGTTTAGCACACATAGGAAGCAAGGCAAGGCAAGGGAAAAATTCCAAGAAACGTGGAGAATACTTGGAATTGTTACAGAATATTGCTTATTGTTTCATAGGTAAAAGTCTTATGTTTGGTTTTAAAACTATGCGCACATAACAGTTAATACACATTTTATGTGAAAGTAGAGTTGTTGGTAAAAAAAATAATTGTATATATCCATTTTTTTTGCCATGTGTTGTCACCAAAACAAAATATATTGATAAAGATTGAAACTTAATTTTTAGAAAGGGATGCAGGTGTATGTGACGAGGACACCTTGAAGAAGTCTCTCTCCAGATGTTTAGTCGGTGGAGAAAAATGGTTTGTGTGGCATATCTACTGTACTACATCTTTAATATACATTTGAACATTTTGCTATAGAGGAGTAAGTTTCTGAAACCTGCCAACTTCCATATACCTTCTTTTACTGAGAAATTATAAAATGGTCTCTTTGTTTTCTTTGCTTTTAAATAAGTGTATGACAAATTGTGTTAATTATAGCTTCCCACACAATTCTTATAATTTCACGTTTGCTTTTTTTAAACAGTAATGAAGTGCAATCTAGAAGAAGAGAGAGAAGACAACTTTCTTTACCTCTTTTGATGTCAAAGCTACAAGAATGTTGCAACAATTCACTTGAAGATTGGAGAGAGGATCAATGAACTGTTCCATTGAAACCAATGTATACAACTTTGTTTACCAACTAGTAATACCTTAGTATGAAACCTTTCAAATACAAGTTACAAGGTCAAAACATATATAATGTAATCTCAGAAATTTTACAATGGTGCTGCACTACCAAAAGATCAATTAAGGGGCAATTGTTTATTATTAAGTATCATTTAGTGTGTGAAATGATAAAATAAATTAATATATATACTAGTAAACCAAATATGTCAAAGTTAAAAGTCAATTCAAAAGTTGAAGGCTTTTTCATGAGGCTGAAATGTATTTGTATTATTCAGTTTGATCATTAGCCTAAGATTTACTTTCATTTAAAAGCCATGTTCATGAGTACTGGTAGTTGTAATATACATCCAAAAACATTTAATTAAAAAAAGATTATATTCTTTCATATTACCTATTTAATCTCATAAAAAGATAAAAACTTAAAGTTGGTGATTCATGAACAATTACTACCAATTACTTGATAAAATGTCTCACCAACAACAAAAAATTAACAATAACATAGATGTTTCTGAATTTAAAGACTTTAAAGAGATTATATTTACAATTTCAATAATAGTTATAAAAAAATGAAACTAAAATCTCTCTTTAGAAGCTCACTTAATTCTCTGAAGAAAGTTCCACAAACTGCTCAATGTTTCTTAAAATCATGCCCTTTGCAAAATTAATCTGCACCCGTTTTCCTCCGTAGCCAGTCTCCAGAACCAACAATTTTGATCTAGGAAGTCTAGGCATAATATGATAAATAGATTCTTCATTTTAATTTTCAATACTTTAATTTTCTAACATGCATTTGCACACAGGGGAAGCAAAACAACATGCTGATGTTGAACTTTTACAACAATAGCACCTTAACATAAAAGTTGTATTCTCAAGCAAATACTTCTTTGTGAGTATGCATTTATTCATTGTATGTGCCAAACATTTAACAAAGGTTAGTCATTACTGTGTCAAGATTGTTTTCCATAGGAGTTACCAAACATGTCATCCTGCAGTGCTGACAGAAATTCTCTGGAAACAATACATAAACATTACAGTAACTGTAGCATTTACAATTAAAACAAAAATATTGTTGTAAACTATTCTGGCTATAATGTATTGACAAATAAAATATCGAAAGGCATCTTTATTATCGACAGACGTGGAATACGGCAGCTGATTACCTCCAGTAAAATTGCTGCTTCAGTAGAAGATAAAAGAGGACTCACCCTAATTTTTCAGTTCTGTCTTGCCTTTCTGGGGAAATTGCACTAGGTGATGCCCTATATTTTGAACCTAAAATGGTAATCATAGTTGCCAGGTGTTGCAATTACAAGAAAATGGCTTTTGAGTACTTATGGCCAACTCAACAACTTGTGTAATCTTAAAATGGAAATGTTGCAACAATGTATATGTATCAGTACAGTGTCCATATCCAGATGAACATGCCAATCTTTGTACTTTGTCCAGAAAAAAATTCTCTAGGATTAAACACAAAGGTGACTACAACTCTTTTTGTTGTGTAATGATTTACCTTTTCCATGTCTTGGCAACCCTTGGCTGCCGACACTGGCAAATTCTTTTGTAGATTCCTCCAGCATCCTAGTGATTTTTTCCAGCTGCCTGTCCATTGCTGAGGCACCAGAGGGCAGGTTGTTCTTGTCTGCAGGGCTTGCCAGTAAAAGATGTGGAAGACCAGCTGGTTTTGTAACTTGGGCCTGCAAAGCAATGAATTACTCACTTCACTCTCACACAAAGGTTGCTGTCTTCCCAAGATGATAAAACTGAAGAAAATATTATGAGCTCTGCAGTTGTTAAATGCACCCATATTTTATCACATGGAATTGAATTCAACAAGGTCATAACAAAGTCAGATATACACAATACTTACATTTTGTTTACTTGCTTGTTTTTCTTTCTCCATTTTCTTCATTGGCTCAAACTTTGTGGTTTTTAAATACTCCACAGCTGCTTTAAATGTGACCAAGCTGAAGCTGAAACCAAGACAACACATAATGGAGATGGAAACTTGTGGACCAATAATCGGTGCTATAATGTGTGTTTGTTTTAATATACCAGTACTCATCTCCTATGCACGTACATACAGTTGACTTGCAGAAGCAATACCAACTTTTAATGGATATGATAAATATAATATATTTAAAAATATATATACCTCAGGTCATCTTTTGTAGACATTGCCCAATTAAAGTGTTCCATGTAGTACAAGTTGCTCCATAAATGACTACTTTTACTCTCTATTATCACAGTTACCTAGGAAAAAAGAAATTAAAAGCAAAATAAACATCAAATTTTACATTTTACCTGACATTAGGCCTTTAAAGGTAATGGTTTGGGGAATTTCAAGTCAATACTCCAATTTTCAAAATGATTTAAACTTACTAGAAGTGGTATCAGATCATCACTGGTGAGAAAGTCTGAAAGGAAAAGAAAATGTGTGGTATATATATATAGAAAAACTCAACCTAAAATTATGGGCTAACATACGATGAAAGAGTCTGTCAGTACATCAGTATGTCAAATAAAACATATTCCCTACATTTCTCCGTAATCCAGAAAATAAACTATGTATACTTACTGTCTCCAGACAAGCCTTGTGATCCTGCCATACAGTGTTTATTTATATCTTCTGCAATGAAGTCCTTACAGACAAAAAGAGTCAAGAAGAATGTGTTAATATTGCAGTGAAGAAAATAATCACTTTATGAAAATGTAACAGTCACTTTTGAAAACTGTTTTAACAACAGTATAACAGATGTTAGTTTTAACTTCAATATTATTACATTCATTTTTTATTTTTACTTCATTTTATTCACAATTATTGTGACATGAATTAAACTGTGTAAAAATCATTTTCTTATATCTTTGTTCATAAGATCACCTACCAAGACAGTTTTTAAGCAAACCAGTTTTTCATGTGGTGTGCACTTCTGATTCAGGTTGGACATCTCACTGACCTAGTGCACAGAGAACTATAACTATAACTGAATGTCATTAACACCCCCCAACACCACAACACCGCTACAACTCACTTGCCTTAGAGAGAGACAGACCCAAGAAATAATAAAGTATTAATTTCAAAACTTGATCACCACTCTAAAAATGCATGATATAACATACAGGAGTATAATGTTTTGTTTAGCACAGACTATAGAGCTAGACTGCCTGTATAGTGCAAAGTACTACACCTACTGCAGATGGAAGTGGACATCTGAGATTTGCTTTCAATCCAAGCTGTTCACCAGTAATGCCTTCTAGGCTTTGGCATTTCTTTTGTAAGTGCTCGTCTTCTTTCTTCCACTTTTGACACACCACAGGGAAAACTTTAGAGTTCAGCTCTGATAATATATAGCTGAAAAATTGGCAGTACAACCTTTGATAAACAATATTTCTGAATGTACAACATGGCCATTTAATTTTCAATATGTATGCTATATATTTGTCAGAGGAAATTACACATTTTTGAACAATGTATTTTATCAGTAATGACACTTTTCTTACCTCTCTACAGCTACCGAAAGAGCATCTTCAAACCTTTGGTCAGACTTGTGAGGATGTTGGTTTACAAGCAGAAGGTTCTGTAAATTATGACTCAGCAGTTGCAATTATATTTCATTGAATAATGTAATGTGGGAGGATCAAAATTATTTATATTATGATAATAAGTTATGCATTTTCCAGTTTATAACAAATTAAAATTTTTTTTTAAAACCTACTTGTCTAGCTTCCACACAAATATTTTCAATTTTTTTCACTGCATCATCCATATAGTCCTTTAACACCATATAGTTTTTCTTGAACTGCTGTATTGTTGTGTCTATGTTTGATAATGTCTGCAAATCAAATAAAAAGAGGTCCTCAGTTTTCTCAAAGAATCCAACTGATATTGCCATTACAATACATTATTAGAGAAAAGAGTGCCCTTTTTTATTATTATACGCTATGATAAACAATTACTCATTGAGGCTGAAACAATTAAATGTTGACTAATGTTAATAAACCATTTTTGGTTACTGCTTGCCTACCTGTTTATGTTCTGGGAATGATTGGAGAAATTCTCTGCATCTGCAAAAATTGAAATACCAACATAAAACATATGAGATATATACAGAAAATGTTGAAATGTTATCAATTAATGTATTTTGTAAAGAATAATGTTTGATTAGTACAATTAAGGTGATGAAATGACTTCTGTTTGTAACACAAACTTAAAAGGGACACATTCTGATGTTAAATATGTATTGCCTTTTTAATATTACAGATATTTTACCTCCACAGAAACTGCTGTAGAACTTTAGATTACTGTAGAGGGCATGAATATTCTTAATTTGAATACATGACTTTTTTCTGTACCATAAATCATGTTAGATATCGTATTTGGAATAAAATCACAGTTTACAGCTGTGATGTGACAATTTCTAAACAAAACTACATAGTAATTTTATATGTCTCAGAGACCATTATTTGGGGCCTGGGTGTGTAGTACTTTCTATTTTAAATCATATGTTTATAAACTGTAGCACTTCAATTAACTATACATATAATACATCAAATTAAATAAAATGCATAAACAAGAGCTTACTCTGTTGGTGTCTTCTTGGGTGTAAAAATTTCAATTAAGTTGGACAATACACTGTTTCTTTTTGACTGAAAAATATAAATAACCCATTGGTTAAAAATACATATGCATTGTTAGTATCAATAACTCACATGCTGATGTATGTAATCAATTTTTTATTTGAAATATTACTAAATGTGCAGATTTTTTCAAAATATTAAACTTATCCTTTGCAGTATGTTAAATTATTAAACAAATAGTTCAATGAAAGTAAGGTTGAGAAATAAAATGTGATCCAAAACAAAATTAATTAAAATAGAACTAAAAATAAGTGATACAAATAAATTTCCATACAGCTAGTTCCAGACACCAGAAAATTAAAAAATGCAAAATGACAAAATGACACAATCAGTGAAATACAGTATATATTTACCCTTGGTGTTGGAATAAGTGGTTGATCTACAATCAACAACTTGAATGGCTTGTATTCCTGAAACAAAGAGTTCATATTGTTATGATGTGAAGATCACCTACGACTTAAATCAGGCTCTTAAAAAGAGTCAGTATATTTTTGTTGTATTATATCTACATCTTGTTTCATTATATCTACATTTAATGAAAATAAGCTCATAGATCTAATTGTTGTACATGACTTAATTTTTACCTTGTTGTAGGCTTTTTCTTCAACTAATACTTTTGCAGTAACTTTTTGGGAAAAACCTATAAGGTAGATACAAAAAAAGCTGCTGTTATAATAACAAAATGATCAAATAGCAGCTTAAATTAACTCTACTCCATAAAATGTCCTCACAAATTATTGATAAACTCCAAACATATCTGTACACTGAGATGAAGAATTACACCATTTCTAAATTTTCATTTAATCATGAAAAAATATAAATACACCACCTTCTCCTGTCTGCAGGATATCCTCATCTAAAAAGACTGCCTTTTCTTTTCTGCCAGCAGTGTAATATTGTCTAGAAGAAGAAAACTTTTACAACATAAGTATATCCTGATAAAGTGAAACAATCATTCTCATAAATACACTTGGGGTCTAAAAAGGCACTTGTTGAGTGTAAAAATAGCGTTATAAAATAGTGTTATAAAAAAACATTGACCATGATCAGATCTTTTATAAAAACAAGGTTCACTCTGCATCAACTTACCCCTGAAAAAAAGGAGATGGCTTCAAGATATGTGTCTCTAAAAAAAAAAAAGGTGAACACACTATAAAAGCAAAAACAGTAAAGCTAAAGGTCCATTGCAACTGAGTAAATTTAAATTAAACTTAATGAGAGAAAAGGAAGCAAAAGCTTGTAATTTTGATGGTTTTATTTATTTATTTATTTATTTATTTATTTATTTATTTATTTTACAATTATTATAATCTAGTAATGAATAACTTACCCACAAAACGGTTGTTAATCTCCACACCTTCCAAACTGCTTGTTTCAGGTACACATATAGTGTAACATTTTTCTTGTGCATATTCATAAGCAGTATGATATTGATCCTGCAGATTAAATAATTGAAAAATCAGGTGTTGGATAAAGTAATTAAAACATTTATGATAAAACTAAAAAGGCATGTACATGTAGTATAGGCACATTACCAATCTACATTTTTGTTATAAAATGCCTTTGATTAAAAAAGTCATATAATTATGCCTATCTTCTTATTATCCACAGTGAGCAAAGAGGACAACGTAGATACTGAAGGGCTGTGGATTTATTCAGCCTGGTCATTTCATAGAAACTGTTGACAATCAGATATGCTTAATTCTTCTAGAATTTGACCAAGATCTTTAAAATTAACTAAAAAAAATGCGTTTACAAATCATTACAGCTTTGACACGAGTACCTTTACAGTGCATTTAACGTACCTGCAAAGCTTGGTAAAATGGGTTGAAATCTAAGTCATCTGCTTCCATGATTTTCCCAGCCCCCCTACTTCACCCACTGTTAATACTTCACCCAAGCTTCCTGCAATATTCACCTTGACCTTGTCATTTTAGCTACTCTCTAAACTCTTTTGTTTTTCTTGGACAAATGACATTCATTTGACAAATTACGAATTTTAAAGATAAATAAATATATTGAAAATGTTACTTTTTATAATAAGTTTGTGGTTTACATTTGACAAAGACATACTAAACCAAAGACCAATAAAGTTTAAAGACTAAACATCCGGGACTTTTCAAAATGGAGTGATCCTGGTAAGAGAGCCATAGAATTGTGCGAATTTCCAATTATAAGCGTGTCCTGTATTACTCATGCAAAATTTGGAAACGTTAGACTTAAGACTCAATCAGAACTAGAAGTGTTTTAATTGGTGTCTTGCGTAAATAGTCCAGGATAGTCGATTGCTAATACAATCATTTCAACGACGCCGCAGGCTTCAGCTTTCAAGTTTGTGAAGTCACTGAAGTTCATCTTATAGTTTCATTCTGCTCTGCAGCTGTACAAAACAGTTACGACTTAGAGTGAATAGAACAAAAAGACATGGAATGGGTGTTTTAGCAATCACATTAAACCGCTTAAGCCCCTCAAATTACTACCATCTTGATGAAAATTTTATATTCATCAATTTGAAGAAAAATAATATATTTGTGAAGCCTCATGTCCAGCACTTGAACATAAACAGCAGAATAAGGCCTGAAACAGATGCAAGGCTTTCATGGGCCTCACAGAATTTTTCCTTATAGCTAAATTTCCGAGAAGAATCTTTTCACCACTGTTGTGGTTTAGCATTTTGTGGAGTATAGAAGCCAATGTTTTTGTTCACTGACTTTTATTTGCTTTGAATCCATTTTGTGTCTTTTTATGTACAGACACAGATGTGTCTGTACATATTGCCATCACCTGCGTCTGTCGTCGCCGATGGCGATGGCGATGCCGGCGCCGTGCACTTTCCTTGTAAACACGCTAAGTGGAGGGCAGTTTTACTTTTTGGCTTTATATTTACAGAGCTGATGAATATTCATAAAACGCAGGTCAAGTTCGAAAATCAGCATGATCGGGCCATTATTGTAGAAGTTATACTGTTTTTTCACTTTTCAGCATATTTTTCACATTTCCTCAGATTCAATTCTTAGGCATGTTAACAGTCTCATTATTAAACTAATAAGATACGTAAAAGTGTTTGTTTGACATTTCCTGCATCTTTACAACATTGTTAGTTGATTTTGTAAAAATGATGGTAAACTTGTTATCGTGTATTGTGTAATAAAGTTTAAAAAATGGAAATAAAC